GAGGGTGAAAGGGATAAAGAAGAGGGCAAACAAGGAAGCGAGCAGAGGATGGGAGAGATGTCGGACAGAGGGCAGCAGGTGCAGAGGAGAAAGCTCTGCTGACCTGGGCAGAAGGAGCAGAGAAAGGGGCAACTGGGGGTTAGCTGCAGTGAGTCCACGGAGGGTTTGAGACGCATGGGAGACAATTCTGAACCACTGGTGTGAGTGGCAGGAGTTCTGAGGGGGCCGTGGTGGAAATCTGGGCGTCTGAGCTCAGGCAGCAAGGCCCGGCTCACCCTGCGTTCAGGGCGAGGGGGGATCAGAGGCTACGACGGAGGAGAACGAGGTTGCCCTGGACCGGATCCTCAGCTGGTGGAAATCAGCACAGCTCTGCTCTTCGCTGTATCTCGTGACAGAGTGACGCTGATTTCCACCAGCCGAGCACCCAGCCCCACGTTTGTTACTTGCTACTGCGTGTTCCAGCTCTGTGTGTATTTTCTTTGCACCTCATCTTCCTCTTTGGGAGCCTGATTCGGATCTCACATCTCTGGAGTCACTCCTGATTGACGCAGGGGTGAGAAGAGAATCGGGCCTCTGGGGTCTGTGGTGTGTCAGGCAGTGTGGAGACAGAAGTCACGTCCAGGAAAGTACGCCCTGATAGTCCCTGCAAACTCAACGTGGATTGTCTCTTTGCTCTGTCTCTGTACAGCGCCTAGCGCATTGGGGGCTGTACCGTTGACTGGGGCTTCCCACTGCAATGCCGTCAGTCATCCCCGTATCCCCCACACCGTGTTCTCACCCTCAGCCTGGGAGAAGGGGGTGCAAATGCCTCTCTGAAACCCACCCATGTGCTCCCCACCCCCTCTGGTAAATGACTGAGGTTGTTCCTCCCGCAACTGCTGAATGAGAAGAAAGTAACAGTCCACAAAGACGTTCCCTCCTCCTCCCCCTCCACGGCCCGCTCTTGCAAGCAGAAAATCTGCTCAGCCCCAAAGACAGAGCATTCCTCAGCATGCCAAAGGCTCATTGTGCCCTGGCCCAGCCGCTGGCATTTGCAGAGCTTGGCTAAATTCCATTAACCCTCTGCGGGGCGCGCCGGACTAGCCGGGCAGTACCCATTCCAGTCGGGCTCTTTTCTGCCCTCAGCGTCACAGCGAGCTCTCCCGGGCTTGATGCCTTGTGCGTTAGTCCAGTTTCGAGTGGCTACTCCGGGGCAGCAGCGTTCCAGCAGCATGGCCTGGCGGCGAGTCACACCTGGCACGTCCCCGTGCCACTGGCAGGAAAGACGGTGAGATGGGACGCTCCATCCCTTCCCCTGATCGCCTCGGAGTCTAACCGCCCTTCACAAGAAAGCCAGCCAGCTGCACGCAGGCCTTGTGGTCATATTCAGGTCACCTCTGCTCCGGGCCAATCATTCCCCTTCACGCCCCTTAATCCTGGCCTAATGGCGTTAGGACTCAAGAGATCTGGGTTCTGTGATCGGGCTGCTCCACTGCCCTAACATTATCCAGCACGAAGCTCTCTGGGTACGCCTCCACCGCAATGAAAAACCCACGGCACCAGGCCTCAGAGCCTGAGTCGGCTCAGGCTGCGAGGCCAAAAACGGCATTTGGGCTTGGGCTGGAGCCTGGTTTCTGACACCCTCCCCGGGTCTCAGAGCCCAACCTGAGCATCTACACTGCAATTATTAGCCCCCGGAGCCAGCTGACCCAAGCCAGCCGCTTTGATCGCAGTGTAGACGTACCCTCTGCAACTCTGTTTCCCCTCCCGTCCTTTGGCTCTTGAGACCAGGCGCTCTTCAGGATAAGGGGTGTCTGTGTGTCGCCCAGCACAAGGGGAGCCCTGCGACCATCTTTTCAGTCTGTGTTTGTACCGCCCCTGGCACCCGGGGCTCCTAGATACTATAGGAACACAAATAAAATATTATTTAGTACCATAATGGAGGCAAACTGGCCCCAAATCAGGGGGCGATTGGATCATCCGTTTTGGCTCAGCTCACCATAGTGATCACAGACGGATAGGAAATTCATATCCAGGTGCCCCTAAAAAAAATCAAGTGGTGTCTGAATCCCCTGGCGAGGTCTGGGCTCACCACTAAGGCAAACACACGCAGCCTCTCTCTTCAGAAGCCAATGGGCCAAATCCTCACCTGGTGCAAGTTAGTTTTGCCTCACTAAAGTCAACGGAGCAATGAGGATTTATTCCAGCCAGGGATCTCGCCCTGGCTTTTAAAGAGATGGGCCAACCATACGATATTCAGCTAAGAACTGAAGGACCAAGTTCTGCTCGGATACCTGCCTGTCCTCTTTAGTCCAGCTGAGGTAAATCGACCTGGCTCTACCGCTGGTTTACCCCAGCTGTGGATCGAGCCCTTTGACGCCTGAGCTTTGCACAACCACAGCTGAGAACTGAGGCTGCACCAGGTCTGAAAAACCAGGCTAGAGATGGCAAGATTTCAAACCCGCGTCCGCCCCCAGCCGAGAATACTGTGAGAACGAGCCTTTTGCGCAGCGTTTCAGCGCTTCTCCTGCTGGCCCCCGGGGAACAGCAGAGGCAGCACGAGATGTCTGGTATTTAATCAAGATCCTTTCTTGCTACTGTGTGGAACAATGGGTGCCCAGCACGCCACACGGGGTAGCAAAATTAAACCCTGCTACTGAAAAATGCAACACAGTTTAATTTCCCCGTTAAGTCCTTGGGAGGCTGTGAGAGCCGCAAACATGCCCAAAGGCGGTGAGTCACCGTGTTTATTCTGCAGGGCTGTAGCAGGGCTGACCAGAGGCGTTTCTTCACAGAGCCACAATTCTAAAATCAGACGGGACCCACGGTGACCACCTAATCCCACCTCCTGCACAGCACAGGCCAGAGAACCTCCGCGAAATCATTCCTGTTTCAACTACAGCATCTCTTTCAGAAGAGGCGGCTTGAAGAGGTTTAGGTTGGATATTAGGAAACTCTATTTCACTAGGAGGGTGGTGAAGCACTGGAATGGGTTCCCTAGGGAGGTGGTGGAATCTCCATCCTTAGAGGTTTTTAAGGCCCAGCTTGACAAAGCCCTGGCTGGGATGATTTAGTTGGGGTTGGTCCTGCTTTGAGCAGGGGGTTGGACTAGATGACCTCCTGAGGTCTCTTCCAACCCTAATCTTCTAGGATTTCAAAATCGCCAGTGACGATGGAGAACCCACCACGACCCTTGGGGAACTGTTCCCACGGTCTAAAGTGTCTCATTCAAACACACACCAAAAATCAATCAACCCATCCTTCATCACATGAGAGACTGCTTAAGAAAAGCAAAGGCCTTACAATTAATCCACCCTAAGGGAGTTTCCCCTGCAAAGGACAGAGGCTGGACAGGTCTGACTCTCCAAGCGACAGGCTACATTCTGTCCTCGTTGCCAGTGGCGCATCTCCACCAAACGAGGCCAGAATCTGGCACAGGTTCTGCTGAGACGGGGCTGGGGCGGTAGGTAGGTTTCCCACAAGGGGGCTTTGAGGATGTGCAGACCATGCTTTGCTGACAGGGAAAGGATCTGGGGACCCAATCTTGCTTCCACAGACAGCACGACTGGGCCTGGTAGTTCCTACGGCCCTTTGGAAGGCAAGGGAACCATCCGGTTCTCAGCTCAGAGACACAGACACAGACACACACAAAATGACTTCTCTTGCAGCCCTCGTCTGGCCGCTTTGCTGTTGAGAAATCCTGCAGCACGTCACAGGCGTGGGATCCTGCCAGGGCCGGAGTGCCCCACTGTCCTGGACTCTGTGGGGGGTTCTGCGTGAAGCAATTGTGCAGATACAATCCGAGCTCTAATGCTGTCTTAGTGGGTCTCCGGTTTCTTACTCACCACTGAATCAGCAGGGATCACGGGGGCGGGAAGGTTCCCCAGAAGGCTTGTCAGCAGCCTAAACTTTAAGGGACCAACGCCGGTTTTATTCCTCTGCCTTATTTGTTTTGAACTGACCTTTGAAGACCCTGATTGACATTTCGGCCACCACCACAGAGGTCCTGGGCTTGAGCCTGACCTCACGACAAGGTCACAGCATTGGGGTGGGTCACACTATTGGGGGGGAACAAACCGCTCCGGCTCCACGGTCCCATAACTGGGGCAATTGCTGCATAACCAGCAAAGACCCAAACGCACACAAAGGAGAGAGGAAAAGGTGCAGTCCCCGTCCCCTACCCGTTTGGATCGAAATCACCAGTTTCACCATCAGGAACATGCGGCCCAGAGCCAGGGGGGTGACCCTGCAAACCCCTCACTCGCTCCAGGGCTCCATGAGAAAGGGTTCCCACTTCCATCAGCAAAGGAGACACACAACAGCACCAGCCCTCTACCCTGCCAGCCATTCCTTCACAGGTTTGCAAGTTTCAGCCTGCAATGCTCTGCTCCTAGTCACCCTGCCCCTTAGTCACCGTGAGAGGAGACGGAGCGATTTGAACTCCCTGCTTCTCCGGCTGAAATTCAAACACATGTCTGAAAAGAGCGAGACTTCCGGCTCCATCCCACCCCGCGCCCTTTTCTGTTGGGGGTTTTGAATATTTCAAGCCCTGGAAAAGCATTTCACCTACCTGCTTAAAAACAACCCCCCCCCGCCAGCTGTTACAGGAAAGGAGGAGGGGGGGGGAGAGAACTTTCCCACAAGTCCCAGTTCAAATCTGAATCAATGGGACGCATTCAAGCCAGGCTCTGGAATGTTTTAAGAGGTCCTGAAGGTGCAATCGGGTTTCACTTCAGAGAAAGTAACAGGCTGGGGGTGGGTGGGGGGGAATTGCCGGTGAATTGAGCGAAGAGCCATGTTGCTTTCAAACACACGCTCCTTCTTCGCCTTAGCTAAGGCGAAGAAGCCCCTTGTCCGAGCCACTAACCGCCCCCTCCCCTGTGCCTGGGTGCTGGGTCTCCCACCCACAGAGCTCCAGCTGCCCGGACACAGGGTGAAATGAACCAGGGTGAAATTAACCAGAGTGAAATTAACCAGAGTGAAGATTCTAATTTTTTTGTTAAATCAAGTCATCTCCTTACCTTCCCCTTCTCGCAGCCCGGTCCCAGCGGGGCTTTCTCCGGGGCTTCCCCCCCCCGGCCGGCTCTCTGTGGAGGAAACTTTCCTTGGGAACTCCAACCCCTGCCCGAGGTGTGGTTCTGTTAGAGAGGAGCGAGGAAATGGTCGGGTTGCAACACTGTTTATGAAAGAGACGCTCTCTGGAGGCACAGCACCGACCCTGGCCACCGGCGGGCATTGCACAAGCCCGGAAAAGATGTCAGAGCAACCCTGCCGCTTTTCCCTTCGTGCCGGCCGGATTAACTCTCAGCTGTCTGAGCTCCGGGCCAGATGAGAGGAACCAGTTTATTAGGGCCAGAGAATTGTTGGCTTTTGGGGTTTTTTTTTTAAGGCTGATTTTAGGTGCCTGGGTCAAAATAAAAGGCTCTCCCCCACACCTCAATTAGCCTCATTTCCTTGAAGTGAACTGGGCTGATTGACACCAGCCGAGCCACTGGCCAGTAAGTTGCCCAGAATAAAAGGCCATGCTTTGAAACTGAAGCTGAGATGTATTTCCCAGGAGAAGTGGTTGGCAGCAGCTGCAGGGGTGTCATGGGGACATTCCCAGGTAGAGGTGGGGAAAGGGGACTTGGGTTTAGGGTACAGGGTTCTATCCCTGAGTGTTCTTAGACAAATAACTGCCTCAGTTTCCCCCACTGGGCTAGTGAGACAAGCTCTGTGAACACTTATGCAGGTGCTTCATTAACGGTCTACTCGTTTGAGAGAAGGTAAGTGTGCATGTCATTGTTGGTAAGCACGGGCCTTAATACAGTTCGGTTCTGAGGATAAATTCTTTAATGTGCCTAAAGTGCTTGGCGATCGTCAGTGATGCCTGGCCTGGAGGAGGCGAGAGGGAACGAGACCTGGGGCATGTCTACACTACAGCTGCAAGGCTTCAAGCACGCCTCTCCGTCCGGGTCGATAGACACACGCTCACTCTGCTCGCGTTAGCACGCTATAAATCGCGGTGTAGGTGTTGTGGCTCGGGAGGTGGTGCAGGCTAGCCACCTGGGCATGCACACGGGGTCGGTCGGGCATGTGCTCTGGTGGCGAGCTGTGCTCAAGGGCCACTTGGCTATTTTAGCACACTAGCTTGAGCACAACCAGCATGTCCGTCTACCCAGCCTGGGAGACATGATTCCTTGCTGCAGTGTAGACCTACCCCATGTCATGCCACTTGCATTCGGCACGTGGCTGAACCTTTCTGGGCCTTGGTTTCCCCATCTGCAAAATGGGTGTAAAAATAAATATGGTTTAATATGGACAGAAATATGGTTGTGATTTTTCTGGGCCTGATTTTGTCTTGCACCTTGTAGAGTCATTCGTACCGGTGCAAAATGGGCATAAAGCACTATTCTTCCTATCGCACTGGAGTAAATCAGCATCAGCATCATCCCTAGCAGATCTCAAAGCACTTTGTACAGGTCATCAGTATCATTATCCTCATTTTACAGATGGGGAAACTGAGGCACGGAGCGGGGATGTAGTTAAGAGACAGGATAGCGCCTCTGGAGATCTGAGCTCCGTTCCTGGCTGAGATTAAACTTGCCTCTGATTCCAAACGTGGGCTTGCTAGGACAGAGCTTGCGCGGTCACTGTCCATCCTGTACCTGTGCTGTGGAGATCTCTGGGGCTTGAAGTGATTTTCATCCTATCCAGGGTTTACAGTTCAAGGCTCTTGGCACCCCCACTATACAAATTGTTCCAGCACCCTGGGCTGTCAGTCCCATTCTGTTCCTTCCTGAAATGGTGCTAGCTTGCCCACAAGAGAGGAATCAGGGGAGGGCGGGAGAGGAAACACGGGAATTGCGGCATTTGACCCCCAGGATTCCAGACCCTTTTGCTTTGTGTCCCACAATGCACGGCGAGGGATGTCCCAGAATGCACAGAGCCCAGTGGTGAAGCAAAGCACTGGGAACGTTGCATGCTTACCCTACACAAAGTCCCTGTTGTGTAGGTGCCCTGGCCGGCTAGATCCTCAATGATACTGAGGTGCCTCCCTCCCATTGAACTGAAGGTTAGGCCCCTTTGAGGATCTGGGCCGCTGATCTGTAATGAATCAGAAAAGACTTGGCTGTGTGTACGCAATTGTCGCATAGTGTCTCTCTAATGCACATCACTTAGCGCTGTTATTATCCAGCCAGCTCTCCTTAAGAACTAGCTAAGGAACGAGCCGAATGGCACTTGATTTACAAGGAGGCTAGAACACTTTGGGATTTTCCATGATGATGCCAGTGCTCCAAAAACTCAGTGTGAATTAATGACACACATCCCCCTCCTCGTAGACAAGGCTGCACAAACGAACCAACCCGCCCATCCTTGCTCATTGATGGGCAAAGGTGTTTTGCAAAAGAAGATGAAGGAAAACCATGCACAAACATCGCGAGATGGGAGAGTCAGGGTGACGGAGGCAGACCCTTGTGACAAGCCAGCGTGAGGCATCAAACAGCCCAGATTGGACAGGAAAGCGGTTATGGCGAGATGGGGATGTGGCGTGAGTGTCAGTCTTCCGGCGAGGGCACAGCCGATGTCTTGTAGGACAAGAACCCCCCTAAGGAGGCGTCGAGGGAGAACAGATCCAATTGTTTCAAAGGGACCCTGTCCAAACGCTCTGTGGAATTTAAAAAAATACTGGGCCAGATCCTCCGCTGGTGTTAAAGCAGCATTGCTCCATTGCAGTCAATGGGCCAGATCCCCAACTGGTGTAATGTAACATCTCTCCACTCCATTGCAAAGGAACTACAATGATTTCCCCCAGCTGAAGATCTGGCCCATTTGTTTTTCATTCACTGCGCTTTTAATAGCAACTCAGTTGGGGCTTCCGCCCGGTGCATGCACCGAGATTTATTATTGTAGGGTTGCTTCAGACACATTGTTAAAATGAAAAATCAACTCCAGGACACAGCAGGTCTGAATTCCTGTTGTGGCTGCCAGCCTCCACAATCCGCAGCTCGTTAGCTTTGCCCAGTAGAGAGAGGGGGGCGTCTGGACCAGATTGTGAGCCGCTGAGGCCAGAATTTTCAGACGTGACCCCCGATTTCTGCAATGCAATTCGTGGGGCTCCTAATCACTGCGGGCCGGCTCAACTCGCGCAGCAGCAAGGAATTGTTTTGCATCGTGTGAGTAAAACATCATTTGTTTTGTCACTATCCCTGTGGCAATGATGGGGCAGGGGAATCTGAGTCTGGCTTTTTGCAAGGCACAGCCAGTCTCACACATCCCTCATGTTGAGAAATGGCTCTCGGGTTAGCTCCAAACCCAGATCATCAAGTCAACGGGAATGAGGTGCCTAAACACCTTTGAGGATGTGGGCCAAAGTCCCTTATGGCCCACGCAAACGGCCTCACTTTTACAGCTGAAAACGATTTGCATCACCAATGCCTGGTCCTGAAGCTGCGGTTAAAGAGACCGACAGGCCCAGCTCTGCAAAGCTACCTAGGTTCCTCCCTTCCATTGATTTCAGTTGACGTTCGGAGCTGTAAGTCTGAGGATCAGGGCAGAGGGCTTGTGTCACAGGTTCAGGCGAGTTGGGCCCAGCCTCATCTGTGATTGACCAGGCAGCTGGGACGGATCAAGTGAGTACACAAGCCAGCAAGCGGCTCTATTGAGGAGGAGAGCGACAGGAAGCAAGGTGGGTGAGGAGGGGGGAAAGGTTGGTGGGCGCCCACAGCCTGCTTTGTGTTACTTTGTGAGTGTCGCGTTTGAAGATGCCAGAGATGCCCTGATGGAAGGTGACAGTTCTTGCGCTGGGAGAACAGGCTGGCAGCTCTGCCGCGTTGTGATTCTATAATTATACTGCTCTCGTTCAGTTCCCCCTGGAGACGAGCCCGGCTTTACCCCAGGGGAAGGAATGCCAGGGCAGTTCAGGTTTCCTGCATGAATAATCTCGAGGCTCTGTCTCCCACACGGCATCCCCCCGTTTGGGCCTTGGCAGCTTGGGCGGGATGTTGCCAAGCAGAATGTATCATCGCCTCTTTGGACAGCTGCAGACCTTGGGCACCCGCTGTCCCTGGGCGTGAGAAACCCAGCCTTGTTCCCTGAATGGAACTTTGTGGCAATGCAACCGTTACACCAGGAACAGTCCTGAGCCTTTCAGAGCCCCCCCCCCCCCCCCCCCGCGCCCCGAATTTGTTAACAGCCCGGGGGCTGGCACGGCTCCTCCAGCCGCATGGGAACTGTGGGCTATCGCTTCGCCCGTGTGTAAGGATGGTGGTAAGTGGGCCTATAGGACATCACTGGTTAGGCCTCAGAGCAATCTCCCATCCCGGAAGCTCAGCTTCCACTCCTCGTTAATTCCATTAATTTTTCAACGGCAAAATGCTTTTTGGGAATGAATTATAGAGCAGCCCTGGGCTCAGCTTACGGTAACGCGCTGCAAACGTTCTTTCTTAGCCTCTTCCCACTCTCCCTCTCGCCCGCCCCCACTGGATTTATTTCCTCAAGGTGGGTTAAAGGCACAGACTCGACAGGCTGCAATCCTCCTATGGGAGAAGAGGAGGTTCAGGAGGGGGGGAGGAGAGGACTGCCAAGTAGCGCCCCATATATCTGTGGGGGCCGAATCCCTTTGTTGTGCCAGGCTGTCGCTCCAGAGAGAATGAACCATGGAGTCTCCCTCATCTTCAGCCTCTGCAGTTAAAAACCTCTAAGGAAGGAGATTCCACCACCTCCCTAGGCAACCCATTCCAGTGCTTCACCACCCTCCTAGTGAAAAAGTGTTTCCTAATAGCCAACCTAGACCTCCCCCACTGCAACTTGAGACCATTGCTCCTTGTTCTGTCATCTGCCACCACTGAGAACAGCCGAGCTCCATCCTCTTTGGAACCCCCTTCAGGTAGTTGAAGGCTGCTATCAAATCCCCCCTCACTCTTCTCTTCTGCAGACTAAATAACCCCAGTTCCCTCAGCCTCTCCTCATAAATCATGTACCCCAGCCCCCTGATCATTTTTGTTGCCCTCCACTGGACTCTTTCCAATTTCTCCACATCCTTTCTGTAGTGGGGGGCCCAAAACTGGACGCAATGTTCCAGATGTGGCCTCACCAATGGCGAATAGAGGGGAATAATCACTTCCCTCGATCTGCTGGCAATGCTCCTACTAACGCAGCCCAATA